GTATTTCAAATCACTAAATATCTATCTATCTATCTATCTATCAATTTTGAAATAAAATGTCTGCGTCAGATTACTAATTGAGAGATTTCAAAATTCGAATTCGAATTCTTGAACCATGATGTGACCTTATAAAGAATACTTAAAGATGAAATTGCATGCCCTCCTCTACATCACGAACCTATTTATATTAATTCTATTACTCCTCAACAATTATCGATCGTAATTGTGTACGTACCAAAAATTACCATTTTCCATTGCTGATAAACATCATCTCAAGAAGTACGATCATGTTGAGTAATAAAGAATTGCCTACCTTTTACTTGTCGAATCTAATTGCCTCACTAACACACCTATGTACTACCTCTATTGGGTACTTGCGATCAAGGTCTTCCTATTGAAATCGTCTTTCTGTGTAACATTTACCATAGGTGTGAAATGAAAATGACAACGGATGTTAGATTAATACCACATACAGTATAATGCTGAAGAATGGGATAAATTTAATATTTCTATTATATCTGAGGATTTGAAGCAACTTCGGACAATTCAGCTTTGTTTTTTGAAGGAAAACTCAACTGAGGATTAGGTTTCCACCAAAAATTTTGCGGAGTCAGATAATTCCTTATTGGAAAAATGATAAATCATGAACTCATTTATTTTTAGTGTATTGAGGGTGCCTCAGAAAAAATAAGGAAGGTTGTCAAAAATTCAAAACTGTTGGCTTGGTACAAATAATCATTTTAATATATTCCCTAAAGAATCATTAGTTAATATGTGATATTGGTACTTGAGACTATGTATATCAAAGATAATGTTCATCCTAATTACTTTATATATCTTTTTTTTTGTGACAGGAAAAAGTTTGATATTTCATCTCTGCTGACATATTATAAAATGTCACTTTTAATAAAATAAATGACTTTTTTCTCACGGGAAAAAATTGAGTACTTTCACATGGTTGATAATTCCTGTTAAAAACTTCAAATTTCACCTCGATAATTATCTGATTTTTAATATATTCCCAATATTGATTCATCCTTTTTCCTGTCGCAAAAAAATATTAGATTCAAGCTCTCGCGTCGGGAGACAACACAACCTGGAGCTAAAATCTACTAATCCCTTGCATGATAAATAACTTTTTTTTTTCGCTTGCATAAATCTCCCGGTATATGGAAAAAGTAGGCGATAGAAATAATTCGCACATTCACATAATAATTGGGGATTTTGAATGCAAATATGAAAGTGTTCTAGTTTTCCAAATTTATTTTTGTTGCTGAATCACGAAAATTCAACATGTGAAACTTGTTGAAATATCCGCGATATTATACACCATCGTGAATATTTTATGACTCAGATAAGATATGGAAATTTTAAATTCCATGAGTTGTTAAATGGCAAAAATTTTGCATTTACTGACATAATTCCGGTTCTATTGCTGTCGGAATTGTTCTCAACTTTCGTTGTTCAACTTGAAAAATCTATAATTTTCATTTCAGAATTCAAGTTGCTCATACAGTGATTTCTTCGTTCACGAAAATATTGGTACGAAAGTATCTGAATAACCATTTTCTACTATGGCTAAGACTAACTAATTTTTCAACAATACTCGTTTAAGATCACAATATCCTGTACAAAGATCACCCACTATGTGAATTCATTCAATATTCACAGTTCATTTTCATTCATTTCTAGCTGATACAATGACTTTGAATATGTTTTATAGCGATCATCACGATTTTTATATGACATGAGATTGCCACATACTTTCATATTTAATTACATTTCACAGCAACAAACAGTTTGTTAGAAGAACAGACGAAGAACATCCATAAAATATCCATCGCCCAGTGATATAAGCGGTGACAACTTCGTCAAAGAGGCTATTAACTTTAACTGTTTCTCAATCAACTGGACAATCATCCTTTTTTTCAAATAAATATGAACACAATGGAAATTACACGCATAAGGACCAGTGGCGGCACCTCAGAGGAGGCAACTGAGGCTGAGTCTCCTCAAGGAGTTCCATGCCTCGAATAGTTTAATATACTTCTATAAAATATGACACCGAAATAGCTAACTTACCTTTGTTTATCGGTTTTATTTCCTGATATCGAGTAGAATTTGAGAATTTGGCAGCAATGCCTTCATACTTGAAAGTATTCAGAATAGATCATGAAAAACATCCATATTTCAAAGTGGTCCAAAGTAGTTCCAAAAGAAAAACACCAAATGTATCTCAAAATCGGTCGACCATACTTTTTTTAGATATATTTGGTGTTTTTCTTTCGATATTTAGAATATAATACAAATTTGCGACTTGGCAACATCCAACGGAAAGCAGCCTCTGACCAATGAAATTCCCCAGAATCGCGATTCGCGAGGGAGCATCACAGAACTCAAAGACCTATTGCATAAATATGAAATTTGCGTATTATTCTACCCAGGCTTTTTCAATAAGATAGTTTATCTTCGAGAATAAAGTATACTTTTGATTGATTGATTGAGAATATATAGCTAACAATGTTGCGCATGATCACCATTGCCGCAAAACCACTGGTTGTATCAGACTTCAACGATTTCTCACACTTGCATTAGCCTTCTAGGACCTATGAGCTCTGTGGGGAGCACGTGTAACTGAGATGTTTATAAGTAAATTGTGTTTGCACTGATGTGCTTTTGTTTTGCGCAATAAATAGTTGAAAATTGCAATATAAGATTCTTGTTACATCTTTTTCACTTCTTATTCTAATGGATGTCGATGTACGAATTCTCTTAAAAATGGAAATAGAAACTCAATTATCAGAAATTCATCAATCACTATCAAACATGAACCTCCTTACACCATTTCTGTATTTCTTTGCGGTAAGTATAAGTGATTTTTGTTATTGGGTCCGCTGGACATTAAACATTTGCTAAAATTATGACGTTATCAGCGCCTTTTACAGATTTTTTATGAACAAGAACCATGATAATTTCAAGTGTCGTCAGTTTTTTTCGTAGAATTTCACACTCATTCAGCCTACCCTGTTGAAAGGAGAACAAGTCACCACTGATAAGGAAATAAAATTAAGAAAAAATAAAAACCGTTGAGGAAAAAATATATATCTACTGTGATTAACAAACCTAAAATATCAAGAGTAAGAGATTCTAGAGAATTTTTGTGATTTGATTGTCAGTTACACACAGTTATACAGCTATAAGCTACAAAGCAAAGTTTTTCTCGATTTATCAAATGATGTAAACTATTAGATAGAGGAATCAAGTTTACACCTAGTGACCTAATTGAGAGGATTAAATGATCAAGTATGGATAAAGGTAATGAAATTATCGGGCTATAAAGAAGACCTAGTAGATTATGAAGTATCAGAACACAAGAAAAGCATACTTCTCAATACAATAATTATACCTTCTAGCATAATATAATAGCAACTTATACCTCGACACAATTTTTTTCTTGCTATAGACAGATATTTCCTCGTGAAATACTCCTAAAACCGGAAGATTATTTAAACCCAATTAGATCTAGGTATATATCAAAATGCGAATGATCGTGATTCGATTTTTCCCCATTACTATACATAGCTGGGATGAAAATTTACTACACACCCCCGAAAAATTTTTTTTCATATATTATGCTCTAATCTCATCTTAGGGAAATAGCTGTCTAAACGTACCAAAGAATGTTTCACATGCTAGGTATAATGCAATGTGTTTTTGTTTTCAACCGTTTGAATGAGGTTATGACATTATTTGCGATTTTGAATTCCCGAAAACATTCGACAAATTTTGAAAAATACTAAATTGAAAGCATATAAGTTAAAAAATTCTGAATGAAAAATAAAAAACAATATCTATTCATTATTTCGGTTAGAACTTTGTTGTTGACAGACTTGTGTACATTATATATTATTTGTGTCAGGATACATCCCAGATGCAACTAAGTCACCTGTGCAAATATCAATAAACCCAAATAGCCCACCGACAAAATAAAAACTAGATAGATGGCCGTTAAAGATATTTATAAACATTGAGTAGGCGACAGAGGCGTATGTCTATCATTTAACACCTCTTCATACTGACGCATTCATTAATATACATGGTGTTTGAAATAATAGAAAAATTTCTGATTCTCAAATTGCCTAATTTTGACCCAGACTGATAAACGCTTTCAGAACCTAAGTCTTTGAAAACCTTATCAAGTCCTTTCGTATACTTGGGATTGAACGGGATTGGGATTCTTTTAGGGTTCTTTTTATCCACTTGAAAAGTCGTAGAATTTCGAAGTGTTAACTTGAATTTATGTCTAAGTATTAATTTGTCTACCATTTTGGTATCATACCAGTCTGGGTCAAAATTAGGCAATTTATTAGGCAATCCGAAAGATGAAGTGGACACACTCGTAAGGTCGGGAATATACGAAATGAGTTGTAATGATTGTGATAAAACATATATAGGCCAAACCAGGCGACCCATAAAAACAAGGTTCAAAGAACACATGGTCCATTCGAAATATGGCAGGTTAGATAAATCTTGTGTAGTCGAACATATGTTCAATCACAATCATAACACACATATTACTAACCTCAAATTAGTTAAGCAAGTTAATAATATCAGAAAATTAGACGCATATGAAAGCTTAGAGATATCTAAGAACAGTAATAGAGTAATGAATAAGGATAATGGACCTATTCCATATAGCCCTCTATATAGTTTAGTAATATGAAAATTAAGATTAACATGTGAACTCAACGATGACAAACATTAACTTGACGGTTAGTATTTTTCACGGTTGTGTGAATATATACCTAGTATATAAGCAGCACATTAGAATAGATTATTTAGTTTTGATATTATCCTGAAGATGCTAACATAGTTAGCTAAACACGTGTCGAGGCGTTTAAAAAATCGGTTTGGTTAGTGGTAAAACAGTGTAGTGTACAATTTGTAATATTGTCTTATTGGAAAATAAGGTAAAGTATTATTATTATCCTAAAACTCACTTGATTCGAAGCTTGTCGTCCTGCCTGAAGATACTCCTCACCTCCCTGCCGCCGCTCGACTCCCCCTCCGACGTGCTGTCGCCGTTCCCCCTCGCCTGTCTCGGCTGTCTTCGGCCTGCCTCGCCTCGCCTTGCGCCCGTCGACGAGTCCGAGTCGGAGGCCGACGAGATGCCCTCGTCGTCCTTGTCCGGCGACGTCTCGGCCGATGCCGGTGACAGATCGGCCGATCTCGGCGACGCTTCGGCTTTTCTCGGCGGCGCTTCGGCAGTTCTCGGCGCGAGTTCGGTAGGGGAGATTTGAGGGGGGGCTGTGCGTTTGGAGACGGGCGGTTTGAGAATGCCCTTGCGTTCTGGCGATTTATCTGGTTCGGCGTCGTCTGGAAATGGTAGATGTATGGACATGAGGGTATTGGTTTGAGCTTTGCGACATCAATAGTTAATATAAGGTGTCCATAGATGAAAACCCAAAGTCATCTTTCGGGCTTATACATATAAACCAATGGAAAGTATCATAGTTCTATAAAAATTGACTTAGCATATAGATGCAATAATTTATTAGTACCCACATGGAAATGAAAAAAAGGAGACATGCAAATAGTATATACTCAATAACAGGGCAAACAGGGAAATATGCTCCATGACCTGGAAAACAATGGTGAGGAACAAAGTGGAAAACTTACTGTCTCTGTAAAATGATGTTAATTTATTATAGAACTTATTTAAAAACGATGTCTATCATCGATGCCTATGACGATATTATGATGATAGACATCGGCATCCAATTTAAAATATCGTTTCACCTCCATGTAAGTCAACTTTTGGTTTCTTATAATATGTATATTATCACATGGCTTTGCTTGTAGTAACTTCAAATAACAGCTGAAGATGGACTTTTTTAAGTCCGAAACATGTCTTCTTGATTGATTTACATCAGTAATGAAGTAGTAGAGATGACTTTGAGCTTTCCTTCTTCCTTTTGATATCGGATAGGTATCGTATGTCAGACGACGAATGCATGGAAATACCCCTTGATAGATATTAATTGCGTTTTATTTGTCCAATTCCGCCACCAGAATCAATTAATGTGATTTCATTCCGTCTCACTACAAGGAACAACGAGGGATGACATTCATTCAATCATTCACAGATAAAATTCAGATCTCGATCTCAGAGAAGTTTCTCCTTTCACCACAATCACTTCTCCAAATATGCCTTGATTCATTTTCTAGATCTTTACTCTAGTATTATGATTATGCAATTATTCGGTAGCCCAATTAGGCAATCCAATGACCTATCAAATAATTTCAAAATGGCTGGCAAACAAACCAAAGACACGTTTGTTTACTTGAGGTTTTGGAAGCCTTTTAGAATGTTATTTTATTTAGTTTTATTAAGATTAATTGTGAATAATGAAAACTCTTTCCCTTTCCTACTCTGACACTGTGAAAAACTCTGTGTATTAACCACAGATGAAGGAACTTTCAAGAAAAATAAGGGAAATGTGGATAGCAGCCATCAAGAGACAGGATCAACAACAGATCAATCATAATGAACCAGAGGATATGTAGCAGACACTATTTTCATAACAGGTACCTAAGAAAAAGAATTTTAATATTATTTATATGTACCTACCTACTCTAGAACCGATGAATTCAGTATTTCATGCTATTGAAAACTTATAACTTTTTTTATTTTGAACATTGGAAACATCATGTTTTTAATACAAATTTGGCAGTTTAATATGGGCCATGAATCTCTAGCCCATTCAAAACGCAAGACTGATGTAGATCAAAAACTGAGAGCAGAAAAAAGGTTTAAATCAGAAATCAAGCAATGAAGCATCAGAACCAAGAGACCTGGTGTGTTCTCAAGAAAATATCTAATTACCTACTTCACTTCAATCATGAAGCCTTGCTTTATTGGTAAACTTGGTATCATCCTTCTAGGTAATATGTAATATTTTATATTCATTTTAGTGTAATGAAGAAAGTGTCCTGGGAGATGAAGATATAGAAGAGATAATTGGTGCAAACGAGGTGAAAATCTGCAATAGTTGTGATTTATTTTCATCAATTATGAATAAAAGACAAATGAAGTAAGTATATCAAAATTGTAATATGCAATAAATGAAAAATACAGTGTATTAATTCACAGTAGGCAATGTATATTACAAAAGATCTACGTACGTCATATGACAATGGTAGAATAGGTACATATTTTTTATAGAACTTGTTAAATCAAAATTCACAAAACCATGCTGACTTTGGTGTACCTAGAATATCTACACATTCGAAATGGAACCATTAGATTTCACTTTATCACTGTCACAACCGATCATAAGGGTTCCATCATCAGCACGTCAACACTTACACCAATAGTTTATTTTTGCATATCCTTCATTTCTGGTGAAATATCTACCCAAAAGTCCAGGCATCCTTGCAATTGAACCATATCAAGGGATATAACACCAAGCCTCAAGTGTCATATTATCACTGCACTGCTCTGTGAATATCATCATTCAAGATGTTCATAACATGAAAATTATTTAGGTATGAAAGTGAAAAGTTCTCTTTCCAACCATGACATGAAGATCCTTTCAGGACAAAAATTGCTGAAACATACTTGTGAGCAACAAGGGTTTTGTAGGCTTTCATCTGCTCATGAGTGTAAACAATGTGGGTCAGTATAGTAGGAGAGTATAATCATCAGGTAGTCTAATCAGTCAGCAGTTTCAAATGTGAAGGGCTTCAAATCCATGATCAATATCAGCTGCATCAGATATCTACGAACAAATTATGGTTAAATGATAGTTTCAGGCTGTTTAGTTGAGAAAAATAGTCGAAATAATAATAAATATTCATGTTTACCACTGACCAACATCTGGGTTCTCCTGCAATAACTTCTTGAAATATGAATTTTGCATATTGAAGCATAATAATTCAACTCAACTCCCGAGACTTTTTCTAACACCTGACACATAAATCTACCAGAATAATAGGGTGATTCTGGCAAAAAACAATTTAATTACAAGTGATGTATAATCTTTGTTTGCCAACCAGACGCCACCTTGCCAGCTAAAATGTCACGTGGTTTGGATTGCCTAATATATAAATATAACCTCCATGATCAATTTGTCGATTCTCTTATGCAAGGTCATGAAGTTTCTCGTTTTATTTCTAAACTTCATTCTGTTCACACCACCGCTACCGGAATGGAACAAATAAAACGCAACAATCATGATCCGTCCCGTTACCCCGAAACAAAACACCAACAAAACAAAAACAAAAAACAAAGCACACCTAAAGCAAATGCAGCGTGCAGAAACAAGCCACGCGCCGCCTCGACTTGTCGCGGGCTGACCAGCTCGGTGGAGAAACGTGCGCGCGCACTGTGCCTGATCGGCGATGGGCTCGGCGATGTGCGCAAGTCGAACATCTTCAGTCTGTCGCCGAAACTCAGGTTGCACGGATCGCCGTCGTCTTCTGCGGCAAGTTACGAGGCAAAGTAATGTACAGAAAGGACACGAGTACAAAGCAGTTGATAATTTTGGGAAGTTGTAGAGCAGGTGATGATATTTGCAATAGGTCGCGTGCACGATGACCGACCCTGGAGGCAAAATATTGAAACACAACCTCATTCTTCTGTAAATTATTGAAACACAACCTCACTTTTTTATTTGGTTACAGTGGAATCAAAGGATTGAAATAGTTTTTCACAATATTTTGGCATACGAATCGTGTTTCTTGGGTTATTCATTAATTATTCAAGCATGCCTTTGCATTGTGTGTTGTACAATGCACAAAAAATGCAGCAAGAGACTAGGGAATATGATTTTTCAGGTAAATAGTAATCTCACATAGTTAGCATTGTCATTCCTTATTAAAATTACTTCTGCCTTCTGCCACTTCGGCAATACAAGCTAATGCTGCTAATGGATTGAAAATGTCTACAACACACACGATCGTCAGATTCGTCAGCATGTCAGACCAGTCCTCCCGATTGATTGCATGAATCCAATCCTCTTGCATTATTCTAGAAATTTCAGGTATATTTCTATTAGCTCTTATTGCAGAAGGAATTCCGATGAGAAATCAGAGAAATAACCAAATTCTAAAAATGAAAACTATATGTGAGTGACTATAGTAGGTACTTACTTTTAAATCATAATGTACCATCCAGATCCCTTCATCTTCCGCTGCAGTTTTTGTGTATTTTACAACAGCACAATGTGATGGCATGAGCGAATTGATGAATAGCAGAAAAATACGATTCCTATGCCAAAATAATTGTGAAAAACTATTTCGATCACTTGTAAACAAATAAGAAAAGTGACGTTGTGTGTCAATGTTTCGCCTCCAGGGTCGGTCGTCTGACAGTTCTTGCACGCGACCTATGCCTCTATCTTCTGACAGCTAACCTATTTGATCTATAATATATCAGAGTGGAGCGAATAAGATTCAGGAAACAAGACACACTAAGTCAACTCCACAACAACTCTTCATTTTCTACTCACTTCTTTCTAGTTTGGCTACCTAAAAAAACGTGTTTCATTCGTTTTTCAAACTACTATTTCTATTTTCTACTACTACTATCAGATTTTTTAAACTATACTATCACGTTTCTACTTCTATTCAGTTTGGTGTCGAGTTTGGCTATCCATAAAAGCGTGTTTCATTACAGTTTTTCAAACTACTATCTATCACCAAGCTCTTTTGCCATATTGGATCCGCCAACTTGAATTTTTCAATTTTGAAGAATAAAATCATAATCAACTACCCCGAAAACCAAAATTTTCAACAAATTTTTAGGAAAATCGGATCATAATTACAAAACTCGTCGCCATATTGGATCCTCCATCTTTAATTTCCTAATTTTGATGAAAGCATCATAATCTCCGACCCTAAAATCTCCTAGATACAAATTTCGAATGGAATCGGATCATAGTTACAAAACTCGACCGCCATATTCGATCTGCCATCTCGGATTTCCTTCCAAATTTTGATGAAATAATCATTATCTCCGACTCCGAAAACCTTCTGATACCAATTTTGAATAGAATGTGATCATAATTGAAAAACTCGTCCGCCATTTTGAATTTCCCAATTTTGACGAAGGAATCATAATCTCATCGATAACTCTCGAATCTGGCCATAATTAAAAAAGTAGTCCGCCATATTGGATCCCCAACTTGAATTTCAAAATTTCGACGAAATGATTATGATCCTATTCTGATCCTGAAATCTTGACACTGAATTTTGAAACACCCTGTGTACTCCGCTAAGTTATAAGAAGTTATGAATGATAAATTGAGCTATTCATAATCCTAACCTCTTCAAACTACATCAACTAAATCTTCTGGTAATTACCAACTAGTAATACAGTGGTGAAAAATATTAACCATCAAAATAGAGAATCATCAGTATACCATGGAAGAAGAAGCCTCAACTTATTCAGTGGTATGTATAAAAAACTTCACGAACGATTAGATTTCCACAAAAGTCTCAATCAATCTCAATAACTTTCATATCCTCCTTTCCCAACCTAAAATATTTCATCTGAAGAAGCTACTATACTGAGGAAATCTTATCGTTTGTGAAGTTTTTTACATCTACTATGTACAGTAACGGCTGAGTCAATTCCAAATTATTCAGTGGTATAATTCATTCACCTGCTCTTCATTTCCCAAATGAGCTATTATTACACATCAATCTAATGAAATGTTTTGCATTTATTTTACAATTGCAATTAACAATCATACAAAATACAGTGGCTATGTACAATATTTACAAAATTTAGAAGGAAACTTACCACCTCTTTTCTCTTCTGATTTATTTTTCCTAGAAGCTTCTTGTACTTCGTCAAAAGTCACCGGCTGAGTTGAAAATCTAGGTGTTCGATCTGATAATCCAGATTTTCTAGATTTATATTTTTCTATTCCTGCATTGCCTACAACAAAAGGAACATTCGATATATTCCTTTACAGGTATACTCGGTGACAAGGGATTAGAGAAGTCTTACAAAAGTTTCAAGTTCATGAAATTCAATCTAACGGATTCTTATTTTCTACTCATTATTCATGTCCATCAGGTCAGTTGAAGCGTATTAAACAAACTTTGTGTAATAATATGAATACTTCCTGGTATACCACATGATTGGATAGTTTCATATTTGACAAATCATACACAAGTGACAGTAATAAATAAAAGTAAATCTGACTGTAAGGGTGATGAGTTAGATATATCCCAGGGGTCTATATTTTGACCAACTCTTTTTATAATATTTTCAAATGACATCTACGATACCTGTACCACACCAAATAGAATATACTCATAGTATAAAAAATGATGGAACCGAATGCTTTTGAGAAACATTTTGGAGCAATCAGTCCGATTGTAAACAGGTGTTTTGTGGGGATATTAAAAATGGCGAAGAATTTTTTATGCAAATCAGGTGATTCTATGATGGATTTTGATGAGAAAATTTTCAAAAACCATCATTTGAAATACGTACTTATACCAAATATCTTGATACTTCGAATAAATCGAGATACAGTCAAGAAAAATGTCTTCAAAACAGAAAGAAAAAGAAATCAGTGAGTGATTGATAAATGAATTCGAACCTACACTAATTTTAACTACCGAGTTTCAAGTCCTGAGTAGATTCCTTCAACCTTCCTCATTACTATGGACTAAAATATTAGATCAACGAAGTCCTTCTAGGAGGGATGATTAATTTTCTCAATACTTCAATCTTATCATTCCTGCATAAATCTACCTTTGAAGGACTTATAACTTTTATGAAATGTCTGCTAGCGACTCTCTGATACTTTATCTTTGAATCAGTAAGATATTCTCGTTTGATTGCAAATAACCATTTCTCTCTTCTTTCTCTTCCTGAATAAGTCATTTTTGCTGGTCAAAAACTTGTGGTTAGTCGAGACCTACACCCTATACTACAATGCTCGTAAGCAGCATTTTACTTCAGCATAAGGTCCAGAACAGACGAAAAAAGGCTATAACAAGCACAGGAAATCAAAAATTGAAACGGCTTACCAGTATAATATGACTATGATCACTATGATCAATAGATAAACTATCATAATCTAATAACCTGATGTAGATATCACTGATATAACGAGTACAATCGTGAACAACAATGAAAGTATGAGGCATACTCCAATTAAAGCACAAATGATTGTCTATAATGAAAAACAAAACAAATCTGACTCACACAGGGAATCGAAAATGGTATATTACGAAATAAGTGTTGTAAGAGTGCGTAATTGCTTTACAACACGCATTAAGTACTATACTTTACCTACGGACATATACAGCATCCATAGAAATCCATCAGAAATTGTAAAAAATAATTGAACATTATTTTCATCCTAGATAGAATATTTGAAGATATTTTTCAATTCTAGTCTTTTCTAACTTTTCTTCCTAATTATTTTCGATATTGTTGATAATAAAGGTAGGTACTTTAGTCTTTGGGCGAAATTTATATATTTCGACCTATCTCTTATACAACTGAAAAGAATCGATATCTGATATTTGTATTTTACATTCTAGGCTCTGCAGATGTTTTTATGAAGAATTTTTATACAAAACATGTGTTTTTCAAGCAAGGTTTGCTCTTTCTTTCTGTTTTGAGGACTTTTTTTATGTATCTTGATTTGTTCAAAGTTTTTCGATTGTTGGTATAAGTAGTACTTTTGAATGAGTTTTTGAAAATTTTTTCATTGAAATCCAGCACGGAATCACTTGATTTGTTCAAAAAACACTTCTCCGCCATTTTTAATACCTCCAGAAAACACGTGTTTCTCAAAAGTATTTGGTTTCATCTATTTTTATGGGTAGTGTACTGCGTCCCCCTCTATCGCATCAAATAGTACCCGCAATGCTTCTCGTCATACATCGTTGCTGGCTCCGATTTTTCAATTTGAAAGCCTGGCAACCCTTATTCATGAACGGATTTTGCAAGGCAACCCTATACTACTGTGTTCGTATAAAATTGCATTAATTTCAATATATTCTATTATCAGCTTGCCTGATTGGACACGGCAACCAGGTAATACGGACCAGAAAAATATAGGCAACATAGCTGTTTCATATTTCATGTATTGTATGCTTTCCATTAAAAGTTCTTTCATATGGCGAGTCATGAACACGGAACAAACTGCATTTGCTGCTTATTTTATTTTCAGGCGGCGTCAACTGAAAAATGTTTCCTGAAGGTGAGTGAATCAAAAACATCAACTATATATGATATTGTGAATGATTTTATGCATCGAATGGCAAATGAAAACATGATTCAACATCCTGGTGGCTGTTTCCAAAATTTTTTTCGGGATCAGATTTCAGGACATACTTGTGTACCATCACATTTGTGTGCTCCGGGAGCGTACCGCTACGGATCAATGACCATTATCGATTTTGATTTAAACATTCCAGTGTGTCAAAACTGTCCTCCATTCCAAGAATTTGGAAATTCAAAAAGATCAAGATGGAATTTACGATTTGTGGGATCAGATAGGATTGAATCTGGAAATCGATTCCGATTAAGATGACCAGTGGGAGTTGAATGCACATGAACAGGTAGAAGTGCCGGAGGAATATTTTTTGAGTGGGTGGATGAAAATGCCAATAAACCAACCGTTCTTCTTGCAAATATAGAAACTTCTATTTCAACAAATGACAAACAATATGATGAAATTGACCACTGGCCTGTCATTGATTCTCCGAAATCACCAAGTACTTGCTGACTGGAAAGTTGCGGGAGCCGTTCAAGGACCAGATGTTAAAAATGCAATGTACGCCTAAGCCTGTGCTTGAACAATGAAAATAATGGTTTCGTCACTTTTCATAGCAAAACATAAACAATAAATGCATATTTCTCCATGATTAGCGTTTTCTTCATTCTGACTTACTTTTTCCCAACTTCATTTTTTTTGCCTCCTCTGCTAAAGCCTTCATTTGTAACTCCATTTTTGGTGGATCAATTTTGATTTTGATTTCGGTAGGTTCATTTTCCGAAGTTTGGGGGGTATCTTCATCCTAGAATTGAAACAAAAATACATGATTACTCCATTAGATTTTCATTTATAACAGCTGACAAGATAATATATTATGATAGTTGGGCAGCATTCTGTTGGCATCAATGGTAACTTAGATGCAAGTAACAAGGCAACATTTGAATTGCACTTCAAAGCTCATGAGCAGCCTGAGATTTGCAAACTGAACAGATTGATGGTTGCATAATTGTGACATCCTCGGAAAAGGACCGAAACTAGGTATACTATGGTACGTAAACACTGTTCTTTCATAAAATGACAGCTTTGATAAATCGAATTTAAGAATTTTACAAGTTTGGCAACTGAATGTCAGGAGCCTATTAGCAGGTATTGCAAGTTTAGAGGCCAATGTCCATGTGATAAAATACGTTTTGAATCTACACAGGTACAGAAATGGAATCCTCATGAAAAACTAGATCCGTTGGCAGTGAACCCACTGACATAAGTTGCTAAGTAAAATGCTATATGTCTAGTGCAAACAACTGAAACAACCCGAAAATCTCATCCAAATTGCTCGCTTGAACGATCTAAACTGTCTTTTATGAAATCAACTTAATTATATCACTTGGCGTTCATAAAGTGATATAAATTAGTAGCGAACTAACTGAATTATTTCACTAGAACTGAAACAAATCCATGCGTTTTTTCAAATTGAAATCATTTCTTCCAACAAACGTCGAAAATTTCTTTGATAACAATAGTCAGTTGTCAAGTTCTGTCAGTTCTGCTCTTCTGTTGAACGTTTAAATTGGATGAAAAGCAAAATGGAATATTTCACACTCCTTCATACATACTTCAAATTACATATTCCTGGATGAGAAGTTATGGTGAAACTGCACTTATCATGTGATGAGATGTGATGAACATGAATTTGATAATGAAAATGTGAACAAACCACTATTTATCGAGAAATTTCAAGTAATAGTTCGAAGTTTCGCCTTCTTTTTCCCTCTGTGTTGGATGCATTTACAGGTAGTTGTTATCCTTATTTTGTTATTGGCCACTTTATATAATCATGATGTACTTGAATGACACATTTTTATGTAGAAAATTAAACACTAAATATGATTTTTATGGCGAGTTTTTCATATTTAGTGAACAATCATACCGACGGTCATTTAATCAATAGTCAAACTAGTTTGACTATTGATTGAATGAGATGTCAAATGTCAACAGAACGCTTTTGAAATGAATGACATTACACACGCCATTATTTTAAATGATATTCTTCCTGCATTTCACTAAAAAACTGTGTCATTGAAGTACATTGTGATATATAAATTGTCCAATGATGAAATAAGGAGAGCAAATTGTTCTAAATGCAATACAAAAGACAGGCGGAAAAGAAGGTGACATTTGTAACTTTATAGTTAAATATCTTAATAAATAATGGTTCGTTCACATTTTCATTAACAAATTCGTGTTTTTTAGACAAAAACACGTAAGTACCAACAAAAATTTCGAAAAAAAACCATCGCATGATAAGTGCAGTTTTACCGAAGTTATAATAATTTATGAAATAACTTGAGATTATCATAACCCCAATTTTATTGACGGGAGCAGTCGGACTGATCTGATCTATTCTTTTTGTTAAAAAAATATACAACTGGATCAATGATAGATGAGTACAGATTCGATCCTCACGTTCATTTTCACTTTGATCAGATCAGTTACAGGATTAATTCATCGGTTCCTTACTTGGTCGAGTTCAAGTCCATCTCCCAAGGATTGAAACGCCGAATCGGAAGACATTTTGCCACAGGAGAAGTGATCCGGACTGGTGGTGTTTTGCAACGATGACGAATAGAAGTTGTTCAGATTGCTGTCATTCTCCAAGGAAGACGTGAAATCTAAAAGTGAGCGGACGTCGAAATTCCTGGAAATGTTGGATAGGTTGCAATGATTCGCCGGATGACCTTCGTCGAACGGTGGACTTTTAGTGACAGAGTTCAGACTGAAAAAATATCAACTGTTATAAAGCGTGTTCCAAAATTGACGCTAGTGCTGCAGGGATTTGATTCAAGAGTCTCTGAAATTTTCAAAGATTAATCCGATAGATCCCAAACTAGAGATCTAATACGTCATGGTTTGAATATTTGAGTTAGCTTCGGATGAAACTTTTCACAACTTGATGACGAATGACAGTCTATACATTATCCCCTCTTGATCAAATCCCAATAGCATCGGGGTCAATATTTAGACACCATGTATAATGAAAACAAAAACTACCCCGCTGAAACAAAGTGAAGAATAAGGCCACATAACAGCAACTAAGGGGAAGAAGATTATACAGTATTGATGAGTTCAAAATATAATGAATCCAGTCATTTTCAATTTTTCGAAGGCACATTTCAAATAAGTGCAGAGAGTTACCAATGAATTCCTTAGTACTATTTCAATTCACAATGATTATGAATCTTATATTATTAATCATAAAATTTATTATGGAAAGTTCTGCAATTGCAAGATTGAACCAATCTCAACTTTCATAGAGAATTCTATTATTCATAATTACTTTGAAATTTTATAACAACTTGCCAGGAGCGAATAAAGGTATTGGAGTTTGAAGTTCAATGCACTTTCATAAGGGCAGTGAAAAATATGCTGATCAACTACCCATTTTTTGCTGTCGATTAATTTTTATTCTTGAATTTAACCGTTAATTTCTTTCATCATTGTTAGATTATTTGACCGATTTTAGAATGTATCACTATTTGCTTTCATTTATTGAAGTATTTATTTTCAGTTAGTAAGCATGAGCTTCAATGTTCTTATATTTTTATACTTTTGACTGCTTTGTTACTAAAATCCTTGATTATACAGGGTGTTTCATAATTGAATGTCAATATTCGAGGAGGCGATTCTTGGGCTCATTCTAAGAAGAAAGTTTCATATGAACGTATGACCTAAACGTCCCAACTTTGGAGATACAGGGTGGTAAAATTCTCGAAAATTAATATAGCCTACTACAATGAGAAGTTATAATTCGAAAATACCAAATACGAATACAAAGTTCATGAACTATGAATTGTATTTCTGAAATTTGATCTTAAAAATAAAAACTATTCCTCTGCATTGTGATATTATCATATTAACAATATTACTATAATCATGTAGTGAAAAGCTTTTTATTTTTAAGCGAAAACCGTGCATCAGATTGAAAAAATTGTAGTGATCAAATTTGCTTAGAAATGATCGGGAATTTCAGGAATGATTTCAATTTGGAGATTAATCAGTGGCGTACCATCAATGTCTGCCAAAATAGGTATGTGAAATTCCATACGAACGCCACTGGTGGCAACAACAAAAAATGTGGTACGCTAACTGATGCCTCTTGATACATAGTACATGTATGCCAAATTTCATCAGAATATCTGAAGTGGTATTACAGATATTAATAAAAAACTATTAATTTTTGAGAACTTCACCACCCTGTATCTCAAAAGTTAGGATGTTTAGGTCATACGTTCATATGAAACTTTCTTCTTAGAATGGGCCCAAGAATTGCGTCCCCAAATATTGACATTCAATTATGAAACACCCTGTATACTACACTGAATTCAATCAACTATTCTTAGAGATCCTAATAATTTTCTTCCTACTATTAGAATCGAATATTATTCGAAAAAAGTGAATTCGAAAGAGTCAACAAGTCTTTAACGGAAAAGTCATTCAAAATTTATATGAAATTTGTAAGTAGACTAAGCATAGATCTCAAGCAATTACGTGTAATAGGTGGAGATTTGGGCTGATGTTAGGAATCATCTGGAGGAGTGTTTTGCGGATTCAAAAATACATTCACAATAACTGAAAGTAGGTCATTTGATATACAGAGAAATGCCACACATCTTGCCAAATAATCAATATAATGAATTGAAATGAAAATTCTGTTATTTTAGTGAAGACAAATGATCGAAATATAGGTATTTTGTAACAGTTGTTTATTCTCGAAAACCTGTTTGGTGCGATTATTTTTAAATCTACGTAAGCCGCGTCATACAACGATTTCATGACAGCAGCATATTTTTTTCGCTATTATTAGACCATTTGTATGCGGAATTTGAGAAATAAGAATACTTTCCAAATATTTACTAATTCCACTATAATGTTCATGCGTGAAAACTTTCAGAAAAACACTGTTTGCACACCGTGAACCACCTTCCCAGAAAGCATCAAAGCAACAACTGAAAAGCCTCTGCGTGTTGATGAGAAAATCTAATTTTAGACCCGACATTTGGCAAGAAAATCACGAAAAATAGTCGATTTCCGAATTATCCTGGAAGCTCGTTAAGGCAGATCACTGACAAAAGAAATGAAGTTCTTGTAATTTTGGGAAAATATGAATCTAAAATTGGATCGCGGAAATGACTATAATTAACTACCGATTAGTGTTGAGGTATCTTCGTGATGTTTATTTTCGATTCGGTCTGAGAAGTTTATTTTGAAGACGCGGGTTTGACAACACTTGAAAGGTATTCTTTGTATGACTATTTATAGAGCAGAACATCTCACTCGTCATTAAAAATTGCAAGAAACTCTAGCACAATGGACTCTTATTTGCAATTATTATTCCTTTACAGCGTTTCCTATATTCCCATATTCTCACAAGTACAAATTGATGACGTTTCAGCTCAGGTGTTTATTATTGTTTTCAAATTATTGATGGATTATCAAATATTAGAATCTAAACTTGTAGAATTATATTGATATTTTTATTACGCTTCTAAAAACTAGTAACATTAGAACTTTTATATATTCCTATAATACTGGTATACTGGTGAATGAAATAGCAAAAAATGTATCCGATATTGAAGGTATTGCCAAGGTCCTAAGAGCCTATAGCCTTATGAAAAACTCATATGCAATACAGATGAGAATAGTAATGTTTGAACTGAAATAGTGACAAGTACATTCCACATAAAACCTCAAAAGACATGAAACAAAGAGAATAAAGAAAGATCAAGGTACTCTTCACAAATGAAATGGTGTTCTGGAGAATTCAGTGAAATATTTCATACTCAAGTAAGTTCCATTTTTGATTTTAGGTATTCTCGGTATTGAAATTCAAGTAATAAACTGGGCGTCAATTGAAACGTTAATAGTGAAATTTGGCATCAAGTTTGACTTCTCGTAATTTCTAAAATATTGAACGAATTTTGAATTGCCGCCCAGATTCTGAATGCCTTCTTCATCGTCTTTCGAACCGTTCCTTACAGCTTCTTCTAAATTGATCAGGACCCGTGATACAGGGTGAAACAAAGTTTCGTGCATTTTGAAAAAAATTCCTCCCCCCCCCCATTTTGTCGGAAGACCACGATGCTCATATTTCATTCGGGCATTTCATAAATAGCAACCATACCTCGGGACATTTTCGAGTTGTTGCCAAAAACTACTGTAGTTTCCGAAAAAAAAAAAATGTTTTTGTATTTTTTTTTAAATGGACTAATTTTAGAGGAGTTCCTTAAATGGATGCTTTTATGCATTTCAGGGAAGCGTTGGAGCAGATATGTATACCAGGTTAATCAAACACGATCAATAATTTATTACTTCGCAGTCTATGATGAAAGTTTTCTACCTTAGTGAGCAGTAAATCAACACATCTCATCAACAAAAACAAACAACGATATCTTGTTTCTATAACAACGTATTAATGAAACAATGTAGGTATGCATAGAGGTTATATCAAATGCCAATTTTCATTAAAACGTCAGTGTATTTCGGGTCCTGAAAAATTTAAAGATGCCTCGTTCATATCGGGTCGAAATGGAAAATATCATTATGTAAGATCACTATAGTGATACAAACTATAATTCAGTACAGATAATTATTATTTTAGGTTACGACGATTAGGATATGCCCAAACTCATTTAAGTACCATTTTCAATAAGTCAGTCATGATAATAAATAGACTGATTCATCGTTTTGAGGATACAGGTAATCAGTCCATTTCAAAAAAATGCAAAAAAAATGTGTTTCGGAAACCACAGTAGTTTTTGGCAAAAACTCGAAAACGTCTCGAGGTATGGTTGCTATTTATGAAATGGAGGGGCGGAGAAATTTTTTTCAAAATGCACGAAACTTTGTTTCACCCTGTATCATGGGTCCTGATCAAATTAGAAGAAGCTGTAAGGAACGGTTCGAAAGACGATGGAAAGGGCATTCAGAATCTGGGCGGCAATTCAAAATTCGTTCAATATTTTAGAAATTACGAGAAGTCAAACTTGATGCCAAATTTAACTATTAACGTTTCAATTGATGCCCAGTTTATATGAGGAAAAGTTGACGTTTCACTGAACTGAAATAGACCTCTACCAGAGATTCATCATGAGACATGAAAAATCAAAAGGTTATGTCTCATATGTATATAATCTGATTAAATTATTCAGTAATGCATTGTCCTATTGAAATATGTAATAATCTCTGCATATCAGAAACGAACCAAGATTCCTAAACATATTTTCCTACTGCATATTGTTGCTCTCTCAAATGCACTACTTCTTCGTTAACAAACAATATACCTAAATGTTCATAACCATAAAATTACAGAGTTTGCTTCTCGATTTAATTACAGATCTATTCAGGTATTCATAAATTCTATATATTTAAACAGGCTCTACCTCAACAACACCAAAAAAAATTAAGGGACGATTCTATGATGAAATTCAAGGTGAGTATATGGTATAGAATTTTCCGAAAAACCTTTCCCCGTAAAAGTTACACCTTTTTGAAGATGAAAAAGAAGGTATTTCTTCTTTATTTTTCCTGTATATTAGGCTAAAGACACGAAACTTCTTAAATATCATTTGTCAATAAAACTACATGTTTTGGAATTTTTTCAACCCTGAAGTATGCTTAGAAGGGTTGAAATATTCAACATCTAAGATATTTTTCGTACAACTTCCTTTTAGATAAAAATTTTTCTTATGAAAAAACATGGCATATGCATAGGTTTTCGAAAAAACTTTTGAAAATAAAAAAGTTAGCAAATGAATTGGGCTTCTCAGCCATGAATTTCTAAAAGTAAATTGTTAATAAACAAAAGTTGTAAGTAAAAAATATATTAGGGGTTGAATATTTCAACCCCTTCTAAGCATACTTCAGGGTCAAAAAGATTCCAAAATTTGTAGTTTTATTGGCAAATAATATTCACCAAGTTTCATGTCTTAACACACAGGGAAAATGAAGAAGAAGAGTCTTTTTTTTAATCCTTGGAGATGTGTAACTTTTATAGGGAGGAGGTTGATTCATTTTATGAACTATTGTGGTAATGACTTTGAGTTTCTCTCTTTTGTGGTTCACCTTGTGTTGACAAAATGAATTGACTCTTGAGAAAAATTTGTTCTAGTAAAAAAATGATTAATCCTTCAGATTATAAAAATGACCTAACATAATGTACCTTGCTTCATATTCATTCGAAGTAACAGGCTGAGTCTTGTATCGTTCACTACCTCTCTTCATGCTACTCCTTTTCGGTATCGCGCCTGTCGAGCTACTGATCTCAAAAGTTTTCACCAGATCGTGTACAGACAAAGGCCTAGCTTTTCGTAAATTCCTGTCTTCTTCCTTACTAATAATACTCGAAGATGCTACATTAAAATCAGTACAAATGGTGTGGGAACGCCTGGACGTTCTAGTTCGAGCAGCTTCTTCTTGAATACTGGAATCTTCATAGCAAAACGACAGCCTAGGTCTCGGCGATTCTCCTCTAGAAGCATTCTGCCTCCGTATGACCCTAACCTCACATTCAGCCTCGCTAGAAGAATTGTGCTTGAAATATCTGGTCTCCTGGTTTTCTTGCTCCGCGGATTTTGGCAACTTCAAAATAGGTTTTGGCTTCTCCTCAGAATCGTCTGTGTCAGTGCTGGACTTCTTCTTAAGAATAGGTTTAGGAACCTCCGACGGATCACTATGATAAGAATCTTCGGAGATGCTTTTCTTCTTCAGGATCGGCTTCACGTGATCCGAGTCAGAGTCTAGAATCATTTCTGCACCCCCAGCAGCGGCTAGAATCACAGCAGTAGTAATGGAAACGTGAGGAGTGCTAGTCGTGGAGCCGGCACTGCTAGCACCTGACCTCCTCTTCAGAATTCCCTGCGGGGAATTGAGAGAGTGGTCGTCGTCTTCCGTCCTGGACGTCTTCCTCTTCAGAATGCTTTGCAGATGTGCTTCTGGCGACTGCGTTCTCCTCAGTTCTTCAAGAGATGATCGTCTCTGGTTCTTCAGAATCGAGCGAGAATCAGACTTGTTGGCGACGTCAGGACTGCAGCTCCGGTGCCTCATCACCGTAGACTCATCCAAGCTTCTGCGTTTCTTCAGGATACCCTGTTTGCGTTTGGTGGACGTAGGTTCGACTACGCTAGGCGAGAAGGTGACTGGGGGTGTGTTATTGGAAGAATGCGCATTGCCTTCGTGTTTGTTATGGTCATCTTGGGACACTTTTCTCTTCAGAATAGAAACAGGCCCAGACGCGATGGGCAGCACAGGAGTTGGTTCCACTGCGATGCAAGGCGGCTCCTCTATGGATTTCTTCTTCAATATAGAGGACGGCTGTGTTTTTTCAACTGACGGAGATATTCTGTTGTGCCTAGTCGAAAGTTTAGACTCTGGTTGCGCACAAGGGCTGCTGGTTACTGGCCTTCTAGGTTCTCGCTTCGGTGACTCTCTCGTTTTACTCGTGAGCATTTGTACTCTCGCTAAAGTTTGCTTGGTGATATTTGTCAGCTCCTCCATCCTATTGGCTATAGCCTTGCTGTTGTCGTCTTCAAGCTTTGTGCTACTGGACAGTCTTGGAAAGGCGGTAGACGGCTGTGATTGGTCTGACAGATTGAACCTGGGGGAAGTGGGTTTCGGACTAGAAGTGACGGCTCTCTTGGCGAACGGCTTGTATTTTCCCATTTCGGAATAGGCAGGGGAGATACCACGGCGAGCATTTTCCATGTGCATGCTCAATTGGGATTTCCTCGGAGTTAGTTTGGTGGAGGAGGAAGAGGCAGTGATTGGCGAGGTTGGAGGATAATATTGAATAGAGGCAGTGGTGTTTGGTTCGTTTTTAGTTTTTTCGGAGGCTGTATACTTCGGCGTTTGTTCCAGTACTTCTGGAGGGAAAAATCGGCGTTGGCGACGACGGCTCTTCAAGTCATCTGAAACAAATATTAGGGATATGATAGTTTGTCAGAATTTTGATAGTACCGAATTATTGGCTCAACATCGGAAGTAGGCATGACGGATTTCCACAATTATAAGTAGACCGAGTGCGACTGATGAGACCTGATGACCCGTAAAAGCACTCTTTAACTCCAGCTCACTATTCAGGAAAATCTAGACTACATTATGAGATTCGGTTCGTTACATGTCTGTTTGTCTGGAGATTTCAGTGAGATTTCGGTTGATTACCGATATTGCGATTATGATGAACATTCTACCTCGTGGCGTATCAGCAAGGAGCGCAAGTCAACAAGGGACATGCAAGGGATGTTATGTCAACAATAGGGGATAATCGTGCAGTGAAAACAAAAAACTGGTGTGGTTTGATGAAACGCAGGGATATGGAAATTAGAAACGAGACGACGGTTGTCATGACAGCAGACTAAGGGTAAATGTACAGGTGAATAGATTAATCGAGTATGAGCGTTTATCGAAGGTGGTCCGATATCTACCAGCGATAATTTTGCGTTGAAGGATATTTTCTCATTTTGTTTCTGAACGGTTTTTTTTTCAAGATTAAGCCAGAGCAATATTTTGCGTAAAATACAATATCCTCTAGTGAAATTCCAAGATATGCAGAACTTTGTAAATATGATTTATCATTTTCCAATTGAAATCCATCGAATTGAATCATAAATGTGTTCAAACATTGAAATTGAAATTAGTATTTGAATAATATTTCTATCGCATAGATAAGTCGTAAACAAAGATATAAAATGAACGATAATAATTTACTCTGTTTATAATACCCAATTCGACGAAACTAAGATCTGCAAGACAACTCCATCTATTTCATGTTTTATATTTTAATGTCGTTCCATGGAAAACCCTCCTCTGTTTGCTGTATTTAGTCGTTTCACGTTCTATCGTAGCCATCGCTATATTTCCTTTTTCTTGGATGTTTGTAGTGGATGTCGCTTATAAATTTTAGATAAACACGCTCGAGAATAGAGCAAAACTTTATGTCGACTGCACCAGCAAAATTATCAACGGGGCCAAGACAAAGCCACAGTCCACGTGAAACATGAAAATACAGGACGACCAAGAAGTCTGAAAACGAAAAAAAAAGAAAAACACGTGTTTAATGGTTAAAAAAAATTATCGATTGATGCCAAATCGTCCTATTTCTTTTAACCCCTGAAAACGGGGTGGAGGCACCTTTGAAATCTCAAGAGGAAGGACCAATGCTTTATCGCTAATTTGCAATTCAAACTAAAATCTACGTAAGCTCTATTCAAGACATTTTTGAATTCGTGAGATTCATAGATGAAAAGAGAGATTTGCTTAAAGAATAGGGATTTTTCTTTATAATTTAAAATTTGCTCCCCACTGCTTCCTAGAAGGTGAAAATAGGAAGACAAATTTGGTATCAGTGGATAGATTGTCCTTGAGCAATTAAAAACATTTATTTATTTTCTGATTCGATTCGTATTTTTCGAGATATTCCACAGTTTTTAGACTTTTTAGGCACCTTGTATATTCAATATTATATGAGTACCAACATTCCGTTTTGAAATTGATGTTGATTTGTCCTCACCTATTTCAATAAATTTACAATGAACAAAATAATGTTATTGTGATTGAAATGTGTTGTAATAGTAATGTTTGTAAATATTCAGCATTCAACTCCGAATTTAGGTAGGACATACATTTTCTATCGAACCTGAAGTCTCCATCTTCATATTCTCTTGACAGTAACTGCAACTACATTAATATATCTTGCTAGCCCGATTTTATGTCCTCTTATTCGATTTCCTACATTATATTATTCAGAGATGAAGATTATTATTCGGTAGCATTTCTAGAAAATATAAAATATGACCCAGACATAGCCCAATCTGCAGCGAAATAATTCATAAAGCGAAGTCTCAAATGCTATTTGCAACTTACAATTTAGCATTATGTAAATGGATCTGTTCCATACCACTTTTATCACTGAAAAGTAAAAATAATCCTGCCAAAGGATACTGGCTTCTGCATCCATAATAAAAATCGCTGAGAGGGCGAAAAAAACAAACGAGAGGCGCTCAATAAAGAAAGCACGCTTCCTAATCTGAATTTTCCATTTCGATATACTCTTGTTTTTCCCTACCACAAATAGGTGCCTGGAATATCTTTGCATTTTCATATTGGGATCGGTGGAAATGAATAAGGAGCAGAGCGGTTTCGTTTTTTTTAATGTTGCCTGGAAGTACAAAATTTAGAAACAGTTTTTTAAAGACTATTCCTCCCTAATTGGCGAGAACCAATCAGAATCGACCATTTTCACGGCATTTCCTGTATTATAGCGATTAGTCCATCATCCTTATTCATTACTCTATGACTATTCTTAAATATTTCTAAGCTTCCATATGCATCTAATTGTCGAACATTATTAACTTTTCTGTCTCTCGTTCAAGGTAGAAAAGAGCTCAATATACAGGGTGACCCGAAATTGGCCTGCCAAACTTCACCAGCGGCTTTTACGACCAAAAAGAAAAAGAAAGATGATATTTCTTGAGTATTTCCGAAACTCCATGTAATAAAAAGATGCAATTCGGTACAAGAACTAAGATTTCCATGCCAAATGCAGTGAAAATAAAGTCATTTCAAAATTTCAATCAGGAGTGTATAATACAGGGTGGGACTACATTAAATATTGCTCAAAAATTTTTGCATGCATATTTTTCGACAATTTAATCTCGGATTATGAAATTTCACACCTCTTTACAGAAAAAAAGGTACTCTTGTTCCGTGACGATCAGATGTATTATTATCGAGTAAAAGCAATTTAAAAATATCGTTACATCTCATATAATATGCATTGCAATGAGGCGTAGTGGAAATGGAAAAAAAAAAAATGCACAAAAATTGAAGTTGTTTTTTCATCATCATTTTCCTATTTTTTGCGCTTTTATGTGGTTGTATGGTAAAAATAAGTACTTGAGCCACTATGATTTGAAAATTGGCAACGTTATGCAAAGATGTGAGTGCATCAATATTTCTAAATCGATTTCACTCGAAAATGATACATCTGATCGATGCGGAACAGGAGCACTTTTTTTGTGAAACAGTGTGGATTTTCATAATCCAAGATTGAATTGTCAAAAAATATGCATACGAAAAAGTTTGAGCAATATTTAATGTAGTCCCACCCTGTATTATACACTCCTAAATGAAACTTTGAAATGATTTTATGTTCACCGCATTGGGCATGGAAAGTTAAGTTCTTGTATCGAATTGCATTATTTTATCAAGTGGCGTTTCGGAAATATTCAAGAAATATCATCATCAGGACCCCCTTCTCAAGGGGCCGTAACTTCCTTAGGAGACATTTCTCGACTCATGTTCATTGAAACTTTTCTTCTTATTTTTGATTGAAGAAGCCGCTGGTGAAGTTTGGCAGCTTCATTTTTGGACACCCTGTATATACTATTTTATTTGTTACTTACCGCCAGTTTCGGTTGTAGGAACCTCTTCGGAAGTCGTGGACCGGTTCAAATTCGACTTCCTTTTGGCGCTCTTATCGCGTTCGACAGGCCGCTTGCTTCCCGACGATCTGCCGTCACTTCCGGTCGCAGGAGGCGTGGGTGATTTCTGCGAATCAAAAGAAGAACGAAATGATGCATCGTTACGTGGACTACGTGGGTTATAGGGCTTGCAATCCCGGAATCCCGAGACCGTTAATCCCGGGGTCCCGACAGAATTTAGATCTCGTGTTTTCGGGATGGACCTAAATAGTCGCTGACGCATGCGTAGATACTTGACAGTCTTGACACGAACCAGGCCAGAGGTAGTACATTTGTACCACATGTGGTACATTTGCTACTGAAAAGTACGGTGGTACTACATTGTGAAATTGGGCCCATATGTGGTACATTTGTTAAAAAACCATTCTCAAATTGAAGAATAAATTCAATCAAAGGTTAAATAGTTAATAATAATATTGATAGACAGCAGACACTTGACAGAGTTCACAGAACAGAATTATCGTATTGCCCTCAACACAAAACCAAAACACAGAGTTTATGTTATGTTCTGTGCCCTTGAGTGATGAAAGTTGTCAGGATAGGTAAACACTTGATCTCCGGCATATCTACTATCTAAACTTATATTAGAGTTTGCGCAGGGAGGGTTCTTCGCTTATATTCCACTCGTTATGCTTATGTTTTGGACATCAGTCTTAACAAGTATACCGTAAACTGTTTTTCTCACACTATTTCTGAAAATAGCGGAACCAATCGAAAATACACACTTATTAATAACATGACAGATCAAAGCTGTTTTTTGTTTCTCAATGGTGACATTTTTAGGCCACGCGTGGCCTGAGCTCTAAGTCAACTCTGCTTGCGCAAGTTACAAAAGAAAATACAGCTTTTCAGTTTTTATACCGTATAATTCGTCTAATAGCATTTCGTAAAACCCTCTTCCGCAAACTCTCTATTATGTCATATTCCTGCAATCCGAAAATCCCGGGTGAATTACTCGCCTGAAAACGCTTCCGCTCAATGCGCAGGAACACCCAAACTATCGTACATGATTGAGTCATGTCACTTGGCGTTCGGAAACATAAGTAAGAGCGAGTAAGATATATGACAGGTCCTACATTCGCATGATTTATGTTCTCCAGTTCGATCCTCTTTCTCCTGACATTAGCGGTCTAGATAGTAGTTTGAGTCAGTGATATAGTGATTAGTAAACGGTGACGTGTGATACAGTGAAACTGCAAATGAGGAATTGAATTTAGTTTTTTATTGGTTTTCATATGCTATGTTTTCACTGTGAATATTTTAAAAGAAAATTTGTCTACTAATTTTCATTCTATTTACTGTTTCCGCCATTTTTCAAATAAACATTTTTTCTGGTAGGTTGGTACAAAATGAAAATCTTGTCTGGAAACACTGGGCTGAGGCGAGGCAAGACGCTAGTAGCGTAATTTCCGCTATGTGAACGTTACATTTAATTTTTGTTGATATGTCTCGGAAGATTTTGTTTTTGTTATTACAATATTTGTTTCTGATATGTTTTGCTGCATTTGCAGTTTTTTTTATTTGTTTGTTGAATATTGGCCACTTTTATCATTAAGTCATGTACCTTGAATCAATTTTAACCATTTAGACACCGATCGCAAAATCCCAGGATTCAATGAGTACGATTGTGAACCTTTTTCAATATTAGACCTCGATGGCCTGTAATGTTTGGTCTCACCAGGACTATTACCATTGTTCAGTTCAAAAGGATTTGCAGTGCGTTAGACGTGATCGAAAATAGCATTCTAATGTAGATGTATGATACCATATAAGACAAGTATCAGACCACAGACTGGTCACATGATGGTGAAAAAATACATTTTTCTATCATGAAGTTCGTATGACTATGCATACATTTCATCTTATGTGATATTGCTAACGGATGAAATAATGTGAAGTATCATAGTTTTATACAAACCTAGACATGTGGAGTTATTAGTCATCCAGGATCAGGCTATACTCCTCGAAACCAATACAAAAATACCAAAAAAATACTGCCACGAAAACCACAAAGAAGGAGAGAATAAATCTGATGGCATCACAGTCATTGATACGAATGATATTAGATTGAAACTAGAACAGCTTCTGGTTGCAGGGCCACACATATTATTATCGTGAGTGTAGGAGCGGAACCGTAGGAAAATAGCCCATTTGAAATAGCATAATAATATGCTACTATGTAGATGGGTGTGAGTAAACTGCGCAAGCAATAGCAATTCGTCTTCTGCAAAAATTCAAATTTGCAGGAAATTATTCGGGACATGTGTTGAACTCACATGAGTCTTCTTCAGCCGTCACTATCAAGATTGAAGATCACATTGGTTTTATCAAACAACCTCGAACTAAGATGTTATACTTTTTTCTCTTGTAAAATAAATGTATTGGTCAAACCAAATAGCCATCAACCAAGGTCCTTCAGCCAGTGAGTATTTTCACTTTTTTTCAGCTTAACAATATGTCTATGTATAAGTAGAGAGTTGAGAGTTCAAATTCATGAAACAGAAGAAGGAAAATGGCTTGTCTTCAATCTTAATCAGGTACATTTGTGATTCCTTCCCAAATGATGGTTATTTCTGGGTAGTTGAAATGTGCCTGGCGTCTTTCTACACGTTCTATAAAATATGGTGTAAAAATGTTGCAGTTGTGTTCTCGTTTTATGAATTTACATGCCAGATCCAAGAGTTTGTTCTGAAGTTCATACAGGAGTTCGTTTGGTGGATTATGAAGAAGGCTATATGTGTGGCGGTTTTTTGTGATATTTCAGAAGATGGATATTTCAGCAAATTACAGATTTCTCAGGGCGGGTCATCGACAGCTCAGGTATATAACGTGGGCGTATTCTAATATTGCACGGCAGATCATCTTATTGTATATTCTTGGTGGGGTTTCATCTTTAATGCCGTTGTTTTTGTATGTCATATGCCCGAGATCACCTTTTACCAACGTACTATAAGGAAGATTTTATTGTGTCTCAACACCAACAAAGCTTGTGGCTCTTACGGAATCCCACCGATTGGTCTCAGGAAATGTGCTCCCAACTAACATAATATGTTCTCTGCAAGTTGTTCAACTACTCTTACAAATTGGGGATATTCCCGTCCAACTGGAAAAATGCAAGAGTACAACCAGTTTCCAAAAAAGGCAAAAAGACTCTACCTAGCAACTACAGACCGATCGCACTGCTATCTCTTATTTCAAAGATCATGGAGAAAGCTATTAACATCGAGCTCATGAAATACCTGGAACATTCAGGTATTATCAACGATAGACAATATGGCTTCCTTCATCAGAGATCAACTGATGACCTGCTCGCTTAAGTCTCACATATATGGCAGCAATCTATTGAAAAATATAGTGGAACCTTAGCCGTTGCACTTGATAACTCCAAGGCATTCGATCGAGTCTGGCACCACGGACTCCTCGTCAAGCTTATGGCTCGCCTCCCCAGCTATGTTGTCTGCTAGCTAGTTTTCTCTCAAACAGGTCTCTCCATGTAGTGGTCGACGGAGTTTCATCTGACTCTCTTATCATAAATGCTGGTATTCCGCAAGGATCAATTCTAGCACCAACACTATTTCTACTCCATATCAACGATTTGTTGGAAGCAACTTCATGTCCAGTACACAGCCAGGCAGATCAGAAACGAACGAGGGGGAAATGTTGACAACATGAATATGGACTTGGCAACAATTCTCAAATGGGGATCCAATAACTTGGTAGATTTCAATGCAAACAAAACACAAGCATGCCTTTTCTCTAGATGAGCTGATCTCACAATGTCCAACATAAGCTTGTCAGGAGTAACCATACCTTTGAAGACATCCATTTCGATGCTTGTTATTACTATCAGCAATAACCTATCTTGGGAAAATCACGTGAGATCAATTGCTAAAAGTGCATCCCAAAAACTTGGTTTTCTGTTTCGGGCCAGGAGCTATTTCACTTCCAGTCAGCTGCTTATGATCTATAAGGCACAGATCCGACCTGTCCTGGAATACTGTTCCCATATTTGGAGTGCAGCACCCAGACAGACCCTGAAACTGTTGGATTCTGTCTAAAAAAGGGCGATTCGTCTCGTGGGTGATGCCTCGCTCACAAACTCACTCACTTCTCTGGAACACCGTAGAAAAGTTGGCGATCTGGCTCTGTTTTGTAGATATTTTCATGGACAATGCTCTTCTGAAATATCAACAATTATTCCTCCCTTGGCAGTCCCCGCGAGATTAACCTGTCGAGTTGAGGCTTCGCACCCCTTCGTGGTCACTTTGGAGACCTGCAGAACATCTCTTTCCAAAGACTCGTTCATCCAACGAACAGCGAGGCTTGAAGGTGTTTTTTCCGATGCATATCACCTCCAGGAATTTAAGAAGAACACCAATTCCTACCATATTTCCCTTGGTTCTTACTATGTTCTCTGAACATTACAGGATATCCCTTTTCGTGGGAACCAGAACATAAAAAATAAATGTCATTGACCGAAAGTGTCTACCACTTGTTCTGCACAGGTTTTTGATCCTTCTAGTGTGACTGTTGAAATTGACTGCGTTATCCCCGGACTAATATATTGAAGTTAGGCCGAGTGAACCTTTTCAGCTCCTATTATGAGGGTGCACTGTCCGATTGACCATCATGGTCGGTTGCATTAGCGGCTGACACGTACAGAGAAACCGCAAGCAATAAATAATTACGTGTAGTACCTATCAGAGTTGGGCGATAGTAAGAATCAGATATGGAATATCGATATTTCAGATATTCTTGTGTTTTCCAAGCGCAGATTACCGCATTTTCACAGCAATGCATCTTGACAAGGGCCTATTCATGCGTCATTGTCTTAGTCTTAGTCTCAGTCACAGTCTTTGTTTTAATAATAATAATAATAATTATAATAATAATAAACGCTTTCATTGGTAGAAACAAGAATAAATGCTTTTGTCTGATCCCTAAAGAAACAGACAAGTGCTTTCTTATCATAAAATCAAGTTATGAGCATACATTTCTATAGGTGAATTCATGAAACATTCTGAGTCTCAATCTTAATCATAATCATTGAATCATGACCTTGACTGT